GAAAGGTTATTGAAAATTACCAATTTGAAATATTTGGACTCGAACGGAAGAGGAAGTAGAAAGAAATTTTGTTTTGATAAATCGAACTATTAATCGGTATCTATAGACAAAATCTTAAAATTCGACTCCCTTTTAAGTTGTAGTGAGGGAAAGGAATTTTAATAAAAAAAATTTTAATGGTCCATTCAACAGACTTAATTTTACCTTATAAGTTCTCTTAATTCAAAAACAATTTCTCAAGTGGAAAACAGTAAATTGTAAAAAGCAAACATTTTTACTAATTTATTGACCTTTATAATTTAAAAGCTAGAGTATATAAAAATAAGCAAGTTGCTGTTTTGAGGCATGTAGAAATATTTTAAACGAATGGACAAATAGTTTTTTGGAAATATGTCTGTAAAGAATGTTAGGTTAAAAAAGAAACTATAATCTTCTCTTATATATAGAAAAGACTCTGTCGTCATGTCGTCACATAAAATATTAAAATTATTAAGAATTTTGTGCAAATTCAAACAAGTTTGCCAATAACAATTCCATGACGTTGGAAATTCAAAAAAAAAAAATGAAAAATTCTTTAGGCAACATAAAATTTTATGAAACCAAAATAAGCATCTTATAATTAGGACAAATATTTGAAGATGACTGAACGTTTTTTAGCAAAAAAAAAAAAGCATTTTTCCAACTAAAACAATCGATACTCAAAAAAACAAAAGAAGCTTCGACGTGTTTGCATAATGAAGAATTCAAAATTATTTTTATATCCTTTATGTTTTATGAATTAAAGATAATTTTAAAAAAAAATTTATTTGCTTTGAAATCCTTTTCACAAATTTTATTATTCTTTCATTTTTTGTCCCAAAAGTAACATTATACTTGTAGCTATACAAATCTGCAAATATTCTACTCGAAAAGTAGGTTAAACAAATTTTAAATATTTTATTTCATATCTTGTTTTTGCGTTTACGCGTTTGTAATATACGACCACTTTCATTATGGATTTAATAGATTGGATAGCTTTGAATTCGGATGCATTTATGGTTGAAAATAAATTAGATATTAAAAGAGAATTTAGAGATCTTCTCATGCTCTTTAAACAGTAGTTACAGCGTTGAATTAAAGTTGAAAAAATTTTTCTGAATAAAGTTTTCAGATATTGCGAAAAGAGTTTTGGAAACTTTTACATAGTGAAATGTGAAGGGAAATTGTCAAATTTATAGACTTAATAAAATCTAAACCATATCAGTTTTTTTTCAAAACTGTACAAGTAACCTTCAAAAATCGTAACGAGTTCAAATACAAAATAGGATTCTTTAGTCACTTAATGTATACAAATTCATTATCGTATAAGAATTCAAATGAAATTTGAACTTTGCTGGTCCCAATTGAACAAAATACAAACGTAATTATTTCAACGAATGAAAAGTATAAAACTAAAGGATGAATTTTTAAAATCACACAAATATTCCAATGTTCCATAATATTAAATTATATCTGGTGAGACAATGGAATGAAATAAAAAAAAATTATCCTTCAGGTATACGAAATATAGATAAAAATCTGTGTAAATGTTACCATTACTTAATCATAGTGCTTTAGAAGAATACACAATTCGCAAGTACGCGAGATGACGTCCAAAAGGTATTCAAGATAAATAACAAAAAAAAAAAACTTTGATTTTGAAATTCCAAAGTTTCTTTTTTCCAAATAAAAATTTTTTAATATTTTTCTGCAAGCATTTGCATAGGAGCATGATTTAATTAAATTGAAATCGTACAGAATATTAAAATATTAATGAAAAAAGAAGGTGGGAGCATGAATATTTAAATTTGAGGGGGGAAATTTTTATGTTACCGTGATTGCAACGCGCAGTGTAATTTACTGATATTCAAGAAAGAAAAAAAAAAGTTCTTTGTTATAACTATTACAAGTATTACCGTACAAGTGCAAATTTAAGAAAATAATCTTGAAAAACATAAGAAAACTAAGGAATGGACTTTATTGCCGCATTCTGGGCAATGGAGTTAATAACAAATTTCTTTTTGAAGTTCAATATCTACTTCTGAATCTAGTTTTGAATACATTTAATAAAATTGACAAGAATTTTGCATATTTTTCGGAGTTTAAAACTGTTTACTTGTAATTGATTAACAAAGTAACATTAATAAATGTAATTGTATTAACAATAGGACTCTTAGTCTTAGAAGTTATGTGCCAATTTAGGAGTTTTCAACATAAATACAGTTATCGTTACTGCAGTAAAAGAAAAAAACTATTAATGATAGAAACATCGATCTGTTTTACATATTTTTCAGCTTGCTCTTCTTTGCACTGCAATGTTTTAGATTTAACTGAACAAATATGGAAAAAATTTTTATTTAAACATTTTTGGCCGACTCGACATAACAAACTGATTCTCTAGTTAAAAAAAAATTTAAAATTTTCAAAAAGGTTATTAAAATTATTGTTAAAACTTGTTCTTATTCCAGTTTAAATAAATTTAAACTTTAACATAACACTTTTATTAAATTTCTATAAAAATTCTTTAAAATTTTTTTCTAAAAATATTAAAAAGAAAAACAATGCGTACATCCAATTTTTATTATTAAATCAAAACGCCTTGAAAAATTTCCAACATTTAAACAAGGTCGTCATAATATTAAAAAGGGGGAAAAATATTTGCTCATAAGCGACCTGATTATAAAATTTGCTATACATACTACATGTGTATATTTATTCATAATGTACATACACACACTTATGTACACTTACAATAATAAAAAGAAAAAATTATACGTTGCTTCGTCCGACAAGTAAAAATGAAAAAATCAGAGACCAAAACAAGGAAATCCTTTTTATAAATCCACTTTTATAAGGATAACAATTTTTTTTTTTTTTTACATCATTTCATAATTTTATTTGTAATTTTTGAGAATTCCTATTCAAACAAACTTACAACAAATAAAAATTTCTTGGCTTTCTATTTGGAAGAAGAACAATTTTTTTATAGTTTCACCATTTTGTGATTTCATTTAATTTAGGAATTTCTATATAAATAGTTTATGTTGGAGTCTAAAGACATAATAAAATTATTTTTATTTGTAACAAGTTTTATTGTGCATTCTTTTATGCACTCTTTATATTGTACAATGCCTTAAGACAAGGCGAAAAAAAAAATAAATCGTGGCCAAAAATGAAACAAAAACAACTAAAACAAAAAAAAATTTCATGCAATAATTCATTTTCCATTAATAAAGTCCTTTAATATTCTAAAACCGTTTAACAATTTATATTACAAAAATAGAGCCAAGAGGATATTTTTATAACCCAAATTTTTCTTTTCATGTTTTTTTATTCTTAATCCAAATATAGAAAAGGATAAAAAAAATGATTTTTTTTTATGAATTTACTGTTCTTTTTCTATTTTATTTTTTTTTTTTAATTTATGATCAAAGACAAATTATGGCAAGTTTATTATCCTTAATGCTTTTTTATGTAAATGCATAGATGCATGCAGAATTATTATTTTAATTTTTTTCTCGCTTTCATTAAAAATAACAAACAAAAAACGGTAAAGGCTTGTTATAAAAATAAAAATTTTCGCAGTTTTTCTATCAAATTCTCATAAATAATTTTAACACTAAATACAAGAAGCTCATAGGGAAAGTAAAAAATAATAAAATATATGTGAAAATCTAACAAGTTTGATTTAAGGCTTAATATCACACATTTTTTCACTTATATAGCAAGAGCACTTTTTTGAATTTATGTCAAATAAATTTTATAATTTCACTTAAAAAATGCTGAGTTTTAGTAAATGTTTGCTGGTTTGTTAAAAAAGTGAAAAATTTGAATAAAAATTAATTCATTTATAACAGTCGCAGAATTTTGAAAATAATTATTTTTTAAATGAACTTTCAAGTAATGGAAATCAGAGGTTTTTTTTTTCAGTTCATAAAGTCCCGTCATCAGGCGGCAGCAATAAAATATTTCACAACATTATTTCGAGAGTTACTTGAGATAAAGATATTTACAATTGGAGCGCCACTTCAGTTATATCTCTTTACGAAGTAGTGGAAGTTTTTTTATGTAAGTATATAACAGTTCTATATATTTATTTTTCCCAATCCCATATTAAGCAGTTTTTAAAGTTTTCAATGTACAATTTCATTTACAAACTACTCCAAACTACTATTTTACATACTTTCTAAGTAAAAGCTACGTTATAAGTTCTACGACTAGTCTACGTTATGTAGCTATACTAATAAAATTTGGAGATACAATTATTTGGATAAAACTAATTTTCTATAACAAGCCGACTAATGTGTTAAGTGAAAAACTTTGTTTGTACCGCTACAATAGCAAATTTACATATATACATGTGTACGTACTAAAATTCTTCTATTAGAATGCAGACAAACAGAAAGAATCGCCATAATAAATTACTGAGATCTCTTCGCGCTTACATTCCTCAAGGATTTTGTTTTATTTCTTTACTCTATTTTTTTGCATTATTTTCATGTTTTTCTTATTTTCCTTCATTCTATGTTTCATTGTTGTGTGCATTGTATATAATCGCATAATCTTTTTGAGAAGTAAATCTTATTCATATAAAAAAGAAAATCCCATTATGAATCTAATAAATATTTTTTTTTCTTCCTCTCTCTATCGTCTTTCTTTATGCTCTTTTTTTTCTTTTGTTTTTTTTTTTTTACATTCCAAATAAAATTTTATTGTTCACGAAAAAAAAAAGATGAAAACTCTGGAACGCACACACAAAAAAAGCGGACCAAAATTACTGAACTTTTCACAGTGCCAGAGTTATAGAAGTAAATATACTGTACGTAACAATAAAAATGTCCTAAGAGTACCGTTTTTTCAGTTCCGTTCAAATATAAACTTACATTTTATTATTTATAAATATTTATACATACAGATGTATGAATTTAACTATAGAATATAATATTGAAATAAATAAATATAAAAAAAAAATTATTACTTACCATTATTACTATTAGCACTATTACTAAGGCAACGATAGCCTCCAGCAAAATATATTGTTAATGCTCCAATTGCAGCACCGAATATCGTAAATGCAATTGCCAATATTAAAAGTTTTCTACGTAATTGCGGTTCTTTAAATAGGAGGCATTCTACAGCTGTTGTTGTTCTACTATTACTATTATTATTATTAATAATATTATTACTATTTGAACCATTAAAATTTCTCTGTAATGATGTACGTGGTGGCATACCACCACCAGGACCAAAATGTACAATTGTTGTTGTTGCTGTTGGTGCTGTTGATAATAATTTATTACCAGTCAAATTACTATTATTATTAATATTACTATTATTATTATTAATGCCAATACCACCAACAATAACTGTATTACTAACCCCACCACCACCACCGGTACCACTATTACCACTACCAATTATTGTTGATGATGACATATTATTAATACCACTTAAACTATTTATTGTATTATTACTACTAATATTATTATTAAAATTATTATTACCAGAATTTGTATTATTCATAATAAGATTTGTTGTTCCTATATTATCATTAATAATATTATTACTACAATTATTACTATTATTATTAATATTATTTATATTATTATTATTATTTGATATATTATTACAATTAATAGTTGATAGTTGACCAGTTGATAGTGTTCCAGTTGATGTTGTTATAATTGATGGACCATTATTTGTACTATTAATTGATGGTAGCAATTGTGAATTAATATTATTACTGTTATTCATTAATATTGTATTATTATGTTTACCACTAATGCCACTAATTAAACCACCACTACTATTACTAATAATACTATTAGTACAATCATCATTTGTTAATATTGGCATAACACAACTACTAGTACCATCATCACTTTCAACACTTAATTTTGTTGTACCACCTAATAATGGTGTTGCATTTGAATCATCCATTTTGTATTTTGAATTTTTATTATGATTTTGATTTTCATTTACTAATATTGTTTCTGACAATAATGGTGTAGTTGATTCAATGTCACATAATATTGAAAATTTTTTATTTTTATATTGTTGTTGATGTTGTTTTTGTTGTTGTTGATTTTGTTGCTGTTGTTGTTGAAATGTGGTTAAATAGTCATTTTTTAATAATGACTTTTCTGGCATATCTTTAAATTATTCACTATTTATTATGTTGTTGTTGTTGTTTTATTTTTAATTTTTAAAGTTTTTTGATTTTAAAAAAATTTTCTATTAAATAAATGCATACATGTTTGAGCTTTATATATAGAATTTATTGAATCACTTGATTGCTAAAAAAGAAAAAATTATAAGGGATGAGTTTTTGACAAAATTTTTAACAAAAGATTGGTACAAATTTCTAAACTAATTTAATTTGAAAATATTTATAAAACAGCTTATATAGAGCTTATTAATTGTAAACATTGCAAATATTTAAAAGCGCTTCCTTATGAATTTTCTCTTCGTTTTTTAAGTAATCCAAATTGAAATTTTATTATTATAGCTTAAAAGTCGCTAAAAACAAAACTTAATTTCAAAAATAACATAAATTAAAATAATATTTTCATTAAGTTTTTTTTGAGTATTTTTTTTTTTGAAAATCCTTGAATATCCTTCTCTGCTTTTATACATATATAAACTGCTGCTTTTCTTTTGTGTAAACTTTTCGAAGCAAATTTGTTTTTTATCTTTTTGTGTGTTTTTGTTAGAGAATTTTCTTTACATAAGAAATTTTCAAAAAAATTTTCGTCGAATAAATTTTAAGTGTATGTGTGTATGTGTTTTGTATATAGTAAGATAGTCTAATAATTCTGTGAAATGCTTTTAAAAGCATCAAATAAAACAATAAAACCAAAAAAAAAGCAAACGATATTAAATGGAAAAAAATATTTATTTTTTTTTTTCGTTCTTTTCTATTACATTTGAATCCTTCTTTTATGTTAAGAGATTATTAAAAACAAAAGAAATGAAAAATATTTTATTTGTTAAATAAAAGAAAGAATCAGAGAAAAAAAATTGTTGCTCTTATTGCATTCATGTATGGATTGTATGTATATTTAATACACACACATGTATGTTATCACTCAAGTGATCCTTTCAATTCTTGAAAATGAACAAAAGGATTTTATTTGTATGATAGTACGTTTGTGTTTCTATCAACCGCTGATGGATAAAATATTATATTCTTTTTTCTCTGTTAAATTATTACAAGTATATAAAATGAATGTTTTTTCATCTTTTATTCCATTCTTTTATACATTAGAATATTTTACATTGATAAAGTAGCTCATCTTCAGAGATAATATATATGTTGAACATACACGTATACATAATGTAATTTTATCTTTTTAATAGGAAAATAGAAACAATGATTATAATTTTACGCTCGACCTCAATCTATATGAGTTCTACATGAATTATGATTTTCTATTCATACATATAAGATTCTGGTACAAGGAAATTGTCTATATCGCACACATATTCTTGGTAATATTATATATAATATTAATTATAATGATAAAGATGATAATTATTATAATTCATATATATAAACCTATATAATAGGATGGAAAATATGTTATCCTGAAATGAAAAAAAACAAAAAAAGGAAATATTAAATTACAATTTCATATATAGACAATTATTTGTAAAGCAATAAGAATTTTATATTTATATATGAAGAAAATATTTAATTGCAACATTTATAACTTAAATTTTACTTTTAATATGAATAATAATTATTTTTGGATAAAGAATACTATAAGATATTAAAAATTATTTTTAATATCAGAACGATTTAAGTATTTAAAAATAAATCTTTAATTTTTATAAAATAAATTAGGAATTCTATTGTCAGAAAATGCTGTGAAAATCTAAAAATTTAAGATTATGAAAATTTAAATTTACAATTGCGTAAGTTTTCATAAAATTCAAGCCTAATTTTGCGAAAAAATATGCCAATTAATTGAAGTTTGTTACACTGGTTTAATGAAAATGGTATACTTTAAAGAAATTGTATGAAATGCTAGATTTATGTCGAGAGATTTAAAGCCTTTCTGTCAGCAAGATAGCTCATCAAACAATCTCGAAAAAGAAAGAAGAAACTGCGACCCACCAACTATGTAAGGACTTTAATCAGTTTTTGAAAAATTCAAGTTGGTTTAAATGAGAGAGAGTAAGGCAAAGATCTGGCGTCAAACTAACCTAACCAAATCTAACAGTACCTAACCAAATCTAATAGTAATGAAATTAAAAAAATTGCATATTTTTAGGGGCAGAAAAAATTTTTTAAATAATGGTTTGCTTTAAATTTGTCATGATGACGTACTATTTCACTAACTCTTCACGTTTACAAGGATTTTGAGAGGCCATACATATATCTTCCAAAAAATTTTCTACTAAAAATTCTTATGCGTTTATTATAAATAAACCTCAAAAAAAAATACATTTTCCAAATTTTGTTGAAATGTAGGTGTTTTCTTAAAAAATAGGCATACCTGCATATGCTACAGATTTTAATTATTTTCCAGTTCAATTATTTTTATATACGATTTCTAATTATTACGACTTCTAATATTCTTCAATTAAATTTTATTCTCAAATATTTTTAGTTAATATTTAATACTTCAAATTAATAATTATTATTGTTACCTATGTATATCCAATGAAATAAAATCAATATTTTCCTAATTAGATTTTATAATATGCGATTATATTCAAATATAAAAGTAGGAATATATACACAAATTTTTGTAATATTTTTCCTCGTATTCTTATGCGTAATTTATTAGTTAAAATACTAAGATTCCAAGAAGAGAAAGGTAATCGTTTATATAAGTCACAAGGCTAATGATATATATATATTTGATTTAATTCTTAATAATTCTCTATTTCACTAAAATGCGTGTATATAAATATTCTCTTCTCTGTAATATGATTCCTACTAAATTAAGATGAAAATTCGAAATAAATAATTGTAAAATATATTTCCGAAGAAAATTAAGTTTAATTAACCTTCAAATAAAACCTTAATAATTCATAAAACTTTCTAATTAAATTAATTATTAAAAGAAAAAGTGATTTTTATATTATTGCATATTCATGAATGAAATAAAATTTAATTTAACTTTGAAAAGAATCATCACAAATATACAAAAAAAAAAAATTTTCATTAAAAACATCTCACCTATCAAATTCAAAATTTACATAAAAAACCCATTATCCTTCTCACGTTTACAAAAATTTTTATCAACCTACATCATCAATTAGTTTTTTTTGCATGTATATATATATATATATGTATTTATATACCTTATATAACTTTAAAGCTTAAAAATAATTATGGTAATTTAATAGTAATAATACCATTTTACAAGTTAATTCATCCTTAATTATCAAGATATTTCAAAAATATATAATTTTTTACTTAAATATTCCTTGATTTGTTGATATTAACACAAAGTATGTATAATAATCAAATATTTGTATAACAAAGGAATTTATATTTAGTTTTCTTATTTTCATTTTATTTTCTTATTTTTTTTTTGGGTATATGGTAACATTATACTTGTATTTATAAAAATTGCCTTTATAAATTCTGTGTGCGGTAAACAATAATTTAATACTATCTTTATACACGTGTAAACCTTTATAAAAGTTATAACACAAACATACAAGTATATATACTTAAAAGACATACATGTTATATAGGCATGTATATTTAAAATGATATTAGTTAATTACCATCCAATTATGAGTAAATGCTAATTAATGACATTGAAATTATCTAATTACAAATATTATCAAAATATTTACATGTAAACAAAATTACTTAAAAGGAATTTGCTTTTTTTTCACATTTATAGTTTTGAATCTTGTATATATACACCTATACATATGTATAAATTATATATAATAACCTACAATATTATTTTAATTTGGAAAAATATTTATGTATATAGTTTTAAAATAAAATATTAAATAAGAAATAAATATTTTGAAATTGAATACGGGTATGTAATATATAAGTATGTATATATACCGTATCATAGTGTTATAATCAGATTAAAATATAAAGGATATTTATAGGAAGGCACATTGCAAAAATTTACAAAATTTGTTTCAGTTTTATATAAAATGAACTGAAACTTGATTGAATTTAGAAAAATTTTCATTAAAGTTTTAAATTTAAATAGAATTATTATGCCCACCAATTTTAAGTTCAAATAATTTTAGGCCATAGTTTAAATAGCAAGTCCATATGAATTCGAATATCAAACAACAGAAATAATGTTGCCTTGCAATTCGACAAGGAGTTATTATGGCTATCGACTTCAGATATAGAAACAACAAATTGAGGTGTCCTTGGCAAAACCTTGATAAATGAGAGGTTTATTTCTTCAAATCTATAGTTGCGATAGCGGTATGATATGCAACACTATGCTATTGATATTTAACAAGATCTTGCCCTAATTAATGTTATTGATATTGAAGATCATAACGCGAATTTCTACCAAATTTCTACCCAATAACGTCTATGGGACACTCGCATTTGCGATTGCTTCTCAACAAGTATGATTGAAAAATTTGGCATTAATCATATTCCACTAATGGAACACTAACCATTTGTGTGATTCAATTTCAAAATTTTTAATATAAAAATAAAATTCATATAAGTAATAAGGAATATAAAAAAAAAATTCAAGTAAATTTTGAAAATAGCTGACATATGCAAAAAACCAAACAAAGCAGTTATCAATTGAAGTCTCAAAACTGAAACTGGCAACAAACAATAGACTTTTTTCTTATTTCATTTTTATTTTTGAAATCTTTAATCCGATATCATTAAAACTTTTATTATTCTGTGGTTTTTCTATATGCATACATCCTTACACTATTTATACTATACACACATTTATTTTCAAATTTAAAGTATCCTTATTTCAAGATCTCAATTCATTTATATTTTAAGTATACAAACAAATTCTAATAATACATTTTCATTCACTTTAGGCGGCTTTTAACAAAATATCGTACTTATAATACTTATACGATGTTATAGTAGTTACTTGTATGGAGATATAGAGGTTAAATTCAATATAATGAAATATTTTACTGAAATATTTAAAGAGCTTTACAATAAAATAGCAGCAAATGGAAATTTATAAAATTTTTACAAAAACAAAATCGATGAATATGAAATCACAATTTTTATTACAGAATAAATAAATTTTATTTTCAAAATTTTTAGAACTAAGTGAAGCCGCAAGTGCAATATAAAACTCTTAAGTTATCATATATAAATAATTGTTACATCTTTTTATACTATATTGAGAACGCCACGCGATATAACGTATGTAACTAAGAAACTGACAATGAATAAAAAAAAATTATCATAAAAATTCAACAAATTATTGAAATTCAATCGAAGAAGTTCTCCGATAGAAAGTGCATTAGCATCCCTCCGCAATATATTTCCACCCGCTAAATCCTTCCTTCTAGTTTACTCATCTATAATGTTCTTCATACCCCCAAGGGCCGTAGTGTTGGCCCTGCCCCAATCTTGTCAACACTTAATTAGAACCACCAGTTATATTTATATAGGTGTGTTCCAAGCTCTCCCAATCCCGCAAACTATACTACGATTCATCAATCGAGATAATGACATTGAAACTTTCTCTAGCTGCAATCAATATTTAATTTTTTCACTTATACGATTCGCCTTCCACCGTTTACTTCCATTATGTAATAAATTTTTTCAATGTATTATTAGCCGACTGACTAAACAACCAAACTGTATTTATCAAAACTTTAAGACCGTATATCTCAATTCGTTAATTAATGCTTTAGTTTGTAGCAAATTCTAGTGTCCCACTGCATTAATTCTAAGCATATCACCTTGTACTTGATATTTTTCTTTATTTTATTTTACTTTTTGCATATAATATAGGTATACAGATGTGTGTATGTACAAATTTTTTACAATCAAATATTTCCTCTGACATTGTCTACTATTAAATGGAATTTGTGTTTTTTTGTATATTTCTTATATTTGGTTTCTATATCCATTTTATTATGTATTTCATTTTGGTTTTTCTGAATTATTTAAAGGATATGAAATGAAAGCTGTAAGAAGAGATTTATACTTTCCTATTGTTTTATTTTTTTTGTCTCTTTTTTGTTTAAATCTGCTTGTTTTAGTTCTCATTTTGTTGTTTTTTGGTTTGTTTTCATTTTTAAATCTTCTTCATACTTGCTCTTCTTCATGTTTGTATACGAATGTTCTTGCATTCTAATACAAGCTTTAAGTATTGTGTATATACAAACATTCTTCTTGTATCTAACGGTATGAAAAAAGAAAAAAAGCAAAAGACATCATGAAAAATATTTAATGAAAATTAAGCAAAAGATGATGCCGTTCTCATGCTTGATTATACATTTCATTCCAAAATCCTAAAGATTATGTACTTTTTCGTTCACAGAGCGAATATTTTACATTTCTTCAAGAAAACCTCAGATTTTTTGCAAATTCAAAGCAAGTACAGCTATACCTTCATAATAAATTTTATATTCATACACGTTTT